AAATAAAGTTTTTTGTAAAATTCAAATAAAATTTTTATATTCGAGTTTTACGGTAAAAAGGTTTTACACTTCTTCCCTCACTGTCCTTGTAAAGAAGTTTGATCAAGTAAGAGGCCAAAACTTTATACATCCCGCACTAAGTTAGATAAATATTCATGAAGCTTGAGCAAACTTATTTCCATGTCAGTTTCTGTCTGCACATTCGTAATAAAGACCTTATGACTCATTGCCGTACAACTTGTTAATTTTTTTAATTAAATAAAGATATAAATATTATGGTTTGTAATTCTAAAATTTGTGATTTTAACGGGTAAAATAATAGGTAGTTAAATAAATTTACTTTTATTGAAATTTTCAATTAACAGGTTTTTATAATATTGCTATTTAGGTATAACCTTTTTTAATTGTAAAATATTATATTTAATTATATAAACAATTTATATCCTTTATATAAAGAACAATAATTATGTTCCTACTATGTATTTTACGAAATTTTAAATAACCTAAATATAATGTATAGTCTTAATAGCTATTACAGTTTTTGTAAAATTGCGACATGTTTTTGATAAATTAATTAAAAAATCTTATTTATCTTAAACCATTCAGCAATAACGCCGCACAAGTTAGACGAAGTTTAGAGCACAACAGTAATCAGGTAGGTAAGTCCAGTAATACCTTTTAAAGCCCTCGGACTTTTTTAATTAACAATGACTGCGTTTCTCCCCAGCCTATTTCGTCTGGGAACATTTTCCCTGATGTTATTTCTGTGGGATCTCACTGAGGACGTTTTTAATAATATGATCATGTATGTACATGTTATTAAATAACAAAATTGAACCTAAATAATTAAAATTGTAATTATAATTATGAAATTGTGGAAGAGCCTTTTTGTAAATATTAAAACAGAATAAAAAAAGTTTGGATTTTATGTCATTAGCAGCAACCTCAAGCTTATGAAACCAGAAAACTCTCCGAAACTGCGAAAAACACATTTGATGAGACATTTTCTCACACAACTTTTTAATGGTATAACGTAAAATGTTAAAAGAAAGAAACCAAAGTCTTAAATAGGTTCCAAACTCACCAAAACATTTCCAACTGCTGGGGCAACAAAATTTGAAAACAAAAATAATAAGTAACAATATATACATATTGAAAGTAAATCAAACGAAAATAGTACAAGATTAGTAATTATATTACAAAAAATTGTCAAATATTTGTCTTTATGAGGACTAGTCGATCAATACATAATAATTACTTTGTTTTCTTTAAATAACCTCCTTACATGATATTGAAGTATTGAAATATTGTATTCAAATTTAATAAAGTCCTTTTAAAACTAACTGTCTCTCTTGATGCGGTCACTGAAAGAAACGAAATGTGAAGTAATTGCCTTCATGATTCCAACAAGACATCTCGCAGTAATGAGCACTCCGGAAAGATCTTTTAAAATCCCACTTCCGTTTCTTGTCTTTTGAAATTCCTTTTTAATATTCTTTAAGATTTCTTGTATAAAATTGGCCTTTGTAGATATTAAAATTTTATTCGAGCAATAATTAATAAGAACAAATAAAATTTTCAAAGAGGTTGCAATTGCTGTCTCTTCTAATTTTATGTTGAAATAAATATTTACATACGAGTACGTATCGTGTTCTTGCATTTACTTTTTGAATATAAATAAACGAATTTTAGAAATACAATACTATAGACGGGTAAAAGCTGGAAATATGTACTCTTCAAAGTCATCTGACATAAACTGGCTCTCTTAAACTAAACAGACACAATGTTGCCCTGTTCAACGACTGAAGCGTAAAAGTTTCGAATTTGTGGTTAAAATTATGCTTTTCTATTTATAAAGTGCAGTGGATGTTAAATTTAAATTAAGTTTCAGTTTAAGCAATTCATTTCACTAAATACAATAAAAATGTTATCGTCCTTGAAACAGTAAAATAATAAAAAAAAATCATTTAAATGGAACAGTATGAATTATTTTGTTATAATTATTATTATCCATTACGTTTTCACTTGTGTCACATACCTATTAGATTTAAACGCAAGTTTATCTCCATTTAATTGAAATAACCTTTTTGATATGATCTCAACCATAGCTTTTGAGCTTCATTTAAGTCTTAACTTATTTTATCGAAGCAAAAAGACTTCTTGATTTTCTTTTAGTGAAACTTCAAAGGTATTTCTGAAAAGTATTGGATAAAAAGAACGGTAAGGTTAAAAAGTGGTTTTCACTGTCATTACAGTTCCTCCTGTTAAGACGTTTTTAAGATCTGCAATTTTGTAACTTTATTATTCTTTTTTTCATCCATTTACATTTATTTTTCCCAGAAATTTAAATGGATGTCAAAAAAGGTTATAATTATAAAAGTGTTTGAAAATTTATAACATACGATGATTAAACTTTTGCATTGTACATAATTTACTAAGCATATTTTTGTCACCCAGGATCAGTATTTCCAAAACTAATAACATGTGAGCCAAATTGTAATGAACAATGCACATGAACTGGAGAACAGTTAATCTGTAATATTACCAACCCAAGCAATTTAGCGCACGCGGTTCACTACGGTCGCTTTATCATTGCCCAACAATGTTACAAGGGATGATATAAATTAAGCGTGTGTTCCTAAATACAAGACGTTGGCTACCCGCCCAAAGATTCAACCTTATTAAGTCAAGAGTCGTCGGTGTCAAATTTATGTTGCACATTGTGTCATATCGAGTAAAAATTCCCAATATTTGGTGCATATTTATTTTTTCACAAATACAATTATAAAAAATCATAAAATTGTTGCCACCAACATAAAAATACGATTATTTAAACCATGTCAAACAATGACAATTATATCAATATTTACGCACGCCTGCATAGTGTTAACGACTTTTGGCAACTATTCACGTGAGCATAGATCTAAACAATAAACAAACTGTTTGCTACTATTCCGAAACTAGCACGTCCCAGACCTCAAGAGCGTTATTATTTCAAATGGAGCATTTTATTGCTTTAACAGATTTTGAATTCAGCTGTGATGTAAAATTGTTACCTGTGTTGGTTTAACGACACATAGTTTCAGAACTATTATCGTTATTTGAAAGTGATAGTGTAGTTTAAATATTCCAACGAAATAAATTGCTTATAGCTATTTTTGCGTTAATTTCGTGTTTTATACATCTTAATTTTTTTATTACTTAAAACTATTTTCTATGTAATTTAATTTAATAACAACTTATGTTTTCAGTATTTTGTGCTGAGTGTTATCCTTTTCTATTTCATTTTATTCTATTCAAGTAACATGATTTATAAATTACAGTAATAATTTAAAATTACATTAATGATTACATTTTAATTAAAATAATTACGTTAATATTTTTTATACTTGATATAAAAGTTATCGTTTTGGTCAGTTATAAATATATTATGTTTTGCGTCACACCGAGAATAAATTTAAACAAATGTACGGGATAACCTTGTCCTCAAAATTAAAAACTTTTTCTTAATATATTTTTCGTCAATTTGAAGTTTGATACCTCGAATTCTGGCGAACGACAGGTGTTTTTAACGATCTCTTTGTGATTTAGAACCAGAAGATTCGCCATTAATCTCATTTAGATGGACACAAATAGAGGAGGCAAAATAAACATTGCGTTATCGAAACAACTCATAGCATCTTTAGATTATTGTACCCAAAGTCTATATAGGTCGCCATAAATTGTTAATACCTCATTCCAACGTCCAAAACACTCATTCCACCTTTTTATGAAAATTTATTTAAAATACATAAGAATGCTTTTTCTTGATGCTTCATCTCTGAGTTTTTCGTGTAACACGTTTAACAACTTGAGATGTATGACTAACATTATGGAATCAGCACATCAGAACACCCGAGGCGAGTGGAACAAGTTTCACTATAATTGAATTTCCAAAAGCGGCGGACTTCTTTGAAAGTAAGCTTTTATTGTATTTGATACCGCAAAAACTGCGTAACTTAGCGGAGAATTTCAAAAACTATTTGCTAAAAGCGTTCGTTAACACAGGATAGGATCGTCAGTGATGCGAGAGGAACGTGCTTAACACCATTCTAGCGGTTGTTTTGACATAGCTGTGATTTTGTCACGTTTTACTACAAAGATTCTTAGATATCTAAGAATGCTTTTATAGCTAGCAAAATGGCTGCGAGCTTTTTAACATTTAAATTGAATTTTGTATACTGAATATGATGTTCCTGACATTGGTGAAATTTTATTTCATCCTAATGTTTATCTAGTTTAAATAAAAATTCATATATATTTAAAATGTTTACTTTATAAGGTAAATAAATTAAGTAGAACCATGTTTTATAAAAATCTATTTCGTGATAGTGCTATTATGTATGGTTAAACAAAATCCTACTTTTTTAGGAATCAATCTAAATATGAAATAAGGGAATTCATTTTAAATTGTCGCGCTTACAAACGTATTCGTTAGTGAAACAAAAACGTTGGCAACAAATAAGAAGAATTTTAATAAAATTCATCGATGGGAATCGAAACAGTCACTTCGGATCTCATTGTTAAAGCGACAGAATGAAAAACGACTGGAACAAAAGACGACCTGTAATGCCGAACCGAATTTTAAAACAGACTCGATACTTTGTTAAAAATCTTGTAAAATGCCACTTTGTAATTCTTAGAAAGATTTTAAAAATTGGAGCGAAAATAACGATAGATTTTTATTTTTATTCAAGAAGCTGTCTCTTCATTGTTGTTTTTTTATCAATCTTAGTATAAAAAATATTTCTAACATACGTGCGAGTACATTTAAAAACAATTACTATGGTTTAGATATAGCTCCTTCAAATTCTGTATGAAACTCAAAGAGGAAACTAAAAGACAACATAACATATCCGTCTAAACTCAACCCTATTCTCAAAGGAGTCCCGAGACAAAGTCTACTAAGGCTTCATTGTTGGAAATCGAGTAGGAACAAATTTTGTAATACCAGAGTAATACTATTGCTTTATGCATTCTAAATCAGCAGTAACCAGAGCAGCCTGAGGCTTTAATAACTCCACTGTCTTCTCATCACTGGCGTTGAAGGATTCTCTGTGAATACAAACAGGCTCTTTACAGTACAATGCTCTAATATAACTTTATCTGTACCACTGAATGCTATAGCAGTGAGTGAAAACTGAAGAAACTTGTATGACTACTTAACCAAAAATAAGAAACCCTCAAAAATACTTTACATGAAGAGTAAAAAGCGTGAACTAAAACAAATTTGTAAATGAATTCAACTGGCCTAACATAGAGAAAGTCATATGTGGATCGCAATAAGAAACACTAAGCTAACAGTATTCCGCACGCAGATTGATGAAAGTCTTGACATATAAACAATGCGTAGCAATACGTTCTGTGGTGTGTTAGCATGTTTTGACGATAGGTCATCGATCATGCTATTGTTGCAAGCGTAAACTATGAATTTCAATCACCATCAAGTGAATGGAAAATATGCTATGAATTTGAATTTAAACAACATTTTTTGCTTTATTAAATATGAAACGAGTGTTTTAAACGCTTTTATTTTATGTATATGCGCTTTAGTCAGACATGCGACTGGCGAGAAAATTTTTTGCAAGTTTTTAAAAAGATTAAAATATATTGGAGTTTAGAAAGTAGGTAGGTAATTAAAAATGAAACTGGAACACCCAAGTGAGTACTAGACTTACACAGAAAAGCTAATTAATGTGCTCCAAAGTGTAAAATAAATGTGGCCGGATTAAAAAGACACTTAGATAGGTTTTGACTTTAGTTGAACATTTACATAATATATACATAATTTAATAATTGTTTAAAAAGTATCATTATTTAACTTTAAACTTGCAAATAATTTTTGGTCGATTATTGGTTTTAAATATTTATATGCGTTTATCCAAAGTTAAATATAATGGAGATCCAACATAATTTTAATTTTTGGTTGAACATAAGGAATATTGAAGCATACATACATTTATATCCTAAGCTCCGTTTTTCTTTCTCTTTCCACTATTTTTATTTCATCCAAATCTTTTTGTAAAAAAATAAACCAATGAAAATTACAAATAAAATTCCTATCTCAACTAAACGAATAAAAAGTTAATGATATGTAACACTATATAATACAAGAATGTAACTACTTATGTATATAAGCTACTGAATTTCTGACGGTTTCATTGATACCCTTATATATAGCTTACATTAGTCATTACATACCTTAGACTATTCTACAATGAACTCATAAATAAGGTTTTCTATCTTTAATTATATGTTAAATAAAATGACCCTGAAATTTTGGTCTTGTTTCCAAAAATAAAATGACTATATTAGATACTAAATTTTGGATTATGTCCTGCTACAAATATTTTTAAATAAATCCAAATACAGTGAACAATCAAATACAAAACTTCTAGCTTGTCATTGATCGATCTTGGGTTTTATCTGTGTAATTTTTCCACATTTTTACGAACCAGTGAAGGACCTTAAAGTATAAAGAAAAAAAATGGAATGATATCAACCAAAATCTCTGATTTTTACGTCAGTAATATATAACTGTCATCATTGACAAACTAAACGCAAGGTAAGAATTCTTTAAGTTTCGTTTTAATTACATGCGATACGGATCGGTATTTTTGATATCATATTTTTTTATCAAATGCTATAAAATAGCTTCCACATTAAAAATTTAAGCTTATAAATGAGCCTTTTTTTAAGATTTAAATATTTTAAGTCATTGAAGTTATTTACGACATTAGGTAGTTAGAATTAAATATCTAAAACATGAACGCTAATTTCGATAATGTCTTACCACTACATAATAATATAAAGTATTTAAAAAAGGTTTTAATTTTTTCAACCAAATGAATGTCTATTAAGAATAAAAAATTTAAAAAACTGGTTTTAAAAATAATAGTGAAATGAAAGACGCCTTCAATTTTTTCAGTTCTATGGTTAAATCGGTCAGAATAGCAACGTTTATTTATCGATACTGTGCAGGGCTCGCTCGTTAGTTTTTTTTTGCTCTGCAGTTCCATGCACGTGCTATCACAGCCTTTTGAAGGTTTAATTGTGTGTTTCTAGATAACAGAGCCTTTATAACAAAAGTTTAAATACAAGTATTTAATAAATATAAAAAAATAACACTCAATAATCAAATTACAATATTATTAGAAAAAAAGTAAGGAAGTACGTATAAAATCAAATATTTAAAAAACTTTTTAGCGTAAATGATAAAAAGATATTTTATACTTTATTTTCAAACAGTAGTATTAATTTTAAACAATTTAGTCTCTGCTTTTCTGGGCTTATCTATTCTTTACATAAAGCAAGTAATGGATGTTCTGCCGACGGCGAAATATGTAGTATCTTGTTAACGGATTGCAAATTCGAAAACCCTTCTGGCCCACTCAAGAGTCTTTGATAGCAAGCGTTAAGAGAACATTAAACACACAATTTGCTACGTGTTGAAAGAAACTGTGAGAGCCTCGAGGCATTTCAAACTAGCATGCTGTCTACACTGACTATACTTATAATCATTTTATCCGTTCGCTGTTGCAACACTATTATTATAATCCGGTAAAGGCGCAATGATCACGTCTGCCGCGATATATGATTACGTTTTTTTTATTATTTTGAACGTTAAAACAAATGCATATAGCGATGGATCTATAAACGTGAAGATGAAAAACTATATTATAAACGCAGTAAATAACTATACGTACTAATAACTAGAATAGTAAGTGATCTTTCGATAAATTGCTTTTTATTTTAAGGAGCAGAAGCAATAAAATTGTTTTAATGTCGAAATTCGCTTACCATTAATTTTAAAGAGACTCTGGTATTTATAAGACAAACCATATATTTGAGAACTGCCGCGGAAGCCCGTTTTCGCATAGCAAACTCGGGCAGTAGTTCATTAAAAAGATATATGCGGTCATTATGGAGACATTCGGAATATTACGCTAATACCAACCTTATATTGTATTTTATTGAAGTAATTTGTCCGTAAAACTAATGAAATGCGACACAAAAATAATTCAAAATATTCACGGGTATAACCAATTTAATGAAATTATAGTAATGGTTCATGTTTTGTACACTTTATTTTAGACATACATCTGTAAAATGCTTTTGTTATTCCAATCAATAATAGACTGTATAAAATAAAATGTTCACTAAAATATGTAAGAAATGATATAAAAAAAATGTAAGTATATAAGAGAAACTTATAAACGTTGACATAATATTTTACACTAAAATAATATTTAAAAGTAAAATTGAGTCAAAAATTTATAAGATAATATTATTTGCATTTAAAAGAGTTCAGCCGCTGCAATATTTTTAAAACATTCTTTCCGTACTTGAGACAGCTTGTAATATCTAGAAAATTCTTTAACTAAGAAAGAATAGCATAGGAGAAAATGGTCGGACCACTTGAGCTTTCATGCTTGGTCTCAACAGCGTTATATTTTAAACTAAATCTAAGCTCAAGCCTTAAAATGTAATCGAGAATGAATATTTAACACATAGATCATTCATCATTTTTCTTTTGAATAGACTAGATTTTGCATTATAAATAAAAATAAGACTTAAGATTACTTTGCTATAAAATAAAATTATTAATATTTAAATTTTGTAACTTTAATGCATTTGACTTTAAATATGTTGGCATAGGTTAAAAATTTCATATTTTTTTGGATAAAAATGAAAGAGAATCAATATATTTAGTTAATATAATAAATAATAGAATAAAGTAAAAATTAAAATTCATCGTAAATAGTTTCAAGATGATCGTAATTACAGAAATCCGTGCCGCAAAGGGTCCACCAATAATTGTACAACGGCGTGGACAGGCAACCTCTCCAAATATAGCCTTCGCTTCTGATAGCTTTAACTCCACAAATTTCATTACTGGCACAATCTTGAATTGGCAATGCAATTCTAGAAGGAAGGAAATCGATTTGGGTGATTCGGTATAAAGGTATTTTTTATAATATTTAAACGAAGATAATACGTACATGTTGCCAGCCAAGCAATTTTCATTATCAATCATGTCGGTTGTTTTTAAGGAAGCATTAACTTCACATCTTAAGCAGGACATGTCTTTATGTATGGAATTTCGAAGTCGTTTCGTACGATAGAGCTCTTTTACATTTTCTAACCAATCTTGTTTTCCGGAAAACATATATGGCATTTCAGAAATTGAAATATAGTTACACAGATTGCAGGAGCACACATATGTAGATAGATTATGATTTACATCGAAACATCCGCGATCCACTATTCCAAATGGTGTGTGCATTGAATAACATAAATCTTCTTCACTATCACAAAGTTTTGAAGATATTCTGAAATTCATGATAAATATTTATGAATTTTATAATTATATCACGTTCAGCTTGACGAGTAATGTAATTTTTGATTTTGTGTGAAAAATTTAATTACTTTAATAGATTTAACTGGGAGAGGAAATATTATTTGCTTACAGTTTATTTTGAGGATCCATGCAGTCCATAGAACCTATATTATTACATGCTATGCATGAACGTCTGGTGTTCTTTTGACTAAAAATAGTTGCCTCTAAAGATGGTAATTGCTGCGGCTTTCGTGCATTTTTATCAATTTTTGCTACATCCTTTTTTTCTAAAAGTAAGAAGTTTTCTGGGTTGCGATATGTTGGTTTTTCAGTAAATAATTGTCCTATTTCCGTTAATGAAATATTATAGTCAGTAAATACACTTAATTTTTCAGATTTTTCGATCTCCACGACATTCTCAGTTGAAGGACTCTTCGAAAGGTTAGTGTCTAAATATCCTAAATTTAAAATATTATTTTCATTGTGCGATTCATTATAAGCAGCATTTTGTTCCGTAGTTCCGTTAACAGTGGGCATATTCAGTGAATCTAATTTTATTCCATCAATCGAAAAACTTTCAACCGTTTTATTTGGCTCGTCAGTGTTTGAAAATATCTTTTTTGCATTTTCGAGAAGAAAGGCAACAAACTTGATATCCGAATCGTGATTGCTTTTCTCAGGGTGATTGTCAATTGACGTCTCTTCAACAGATTTCCTAAAATTAGCTAAAGATTTGGTGCTTCTCAAAATAGAATCATCAAGAGATGACTCAGAAATAATTAATATAAATATAATTACTTTTAATACAAAAAACATGAATACTGTCATTTTTCTTTCTTTCACACGAAAATTATTAGTTGACTTTGACACTGTCAAAAACTGTTACGTGTAAGAAGATTCTGCTTTGAAGAATATTATTGTCAAAGTTATTCAACAAAATAATGATTCAATATAATTTCACTGTAAAGAATCGCATTAACTATGAAAATAATTTTCCAATGTTTATTTTCGTTACTAGCTTGAGATGCCAAGAGTTTTGAGGGGGATGATCTCAAATACGCTTTAACAATTTTTGCTGATTTTGGATTTTCATAAGAATAAAGATTACATAGCGTCTTGTTACAAAATGTAAAAAAAGAATTCGTTATCGGTTTATTTATACATCCTCGAGATACGAAATTAGCCACACCATGTATACTCGTATAGCAGACTTGATTAAGACTGCATACCATGTAATTAGTGCTGAAAAAAAAAACTTCTAAGTTGGAAGTTTTACTTTGACACATTGTATTTATTTTACTTACTTTTTGCCACGTCTACAAGTATTATCTGAAATAGTATTTGTTCCATCTGTTTCACATATCTTACAAATGAGACTTGTGCCTTGTAAAGGTATTTGTAGATATTTGTTATGAAATGCCCAATCACTTATTCTATCGTAGTCATAATATATAGGGTTGTCTGAAGGTTTATCATTACATAATGGGCATTTACAAACAAAAGTCCTGTTCATGTTGTTTTTGGTAATACATCCTCTTTTTATAAAATTCTCCTGAAGTTCAACATAACAATGCTGTCCTTGGGAACATTTCTGGGAACTTATTCTGAAAAATTGTAAAACTTATGTTAAAAAATATAATGTTGCAAGACAAGTATGAATGATACGTTATACTTTTTTTTATTGCTTCAATATGATTTGTATTACTACAGTACATAAATGATTAGAAATTATTCTTTCTCAATATTAAATAAACATTTTATACAAATACATTAGAAGTCGGCTAACTAAAAAAAGATATGACATCTCTTAAAGGCCTTGGAAACAAACTCTCTTGGAAATCACATTAACAATCCTATGAAATATAAGAATTTGATAAATCAATACTGTCAAAGAGTCACTTATTGTTGAAGACAAAACTTAGGCCTAAAACAATCAACCAGTGTTATAATTGTAACGTATTAACCATTATTTACGTTTTTATGTTTTATTTTATTTCATAAAATAAAATCATAGCTGAGTGCACAAAATATACTAACGCTATACCCCGATAGCAGTCTTCATCCTTTTTCGTCACTCCATTACCAAAACATGAGAGACACTCTAAACTGTCGCTTTCTTGTGATTTATCTTTTATGTTTCTTATGCCTCTATAAAAGTAATTTTGTTTTGTTCCATTTACATGCTTGCGTAAGTTTCCCCCAATTATAAAATTATACTTTGTAAGATTATTAAGTTCTCTATTAATTTTATTTTCTTCAGGCATTGTAATCAGGGATGTAATAGCGGTCTCAGGAGTTTCATCCCAATTATTTCGAAGCTTGGTTTTTGTTGCAATTTTCCTTTGTTTCATATTATAACCAGAGTCAACTGTGACTCCGCAGACAAATGACACTAATAAAAGAAAATTAAAAAGATTTGGTATATTTAACTTCATTATGGTGCTGTCCTAATTTTGCTGTCATTTTTTCTTTTTTTAGAACAGAATATAAAAGAAGTTCTCTCATTCAATCTATGAAATACTGAAATTTTAATTATCTTTAATGTCTCGTTTTTAATAATAAAGATAAATTTAGCTTATTTTTGGATTCTCCGTATAAAATGTTGTTGTATTTATAAATATTACCATTAGAGTAAATAATAAAAATAAAAACAGGGTGGGAAAATTTAAACCTTTGATTTCTCGAATATTGTGTTCTAGTCGCTTTACCGGCTAAACTCGCATGCTCTGACATGAGTAGGTAAATTAATCATTCTATTTATTTAACCGACATATCTTTAACTGAAATTAATAGGAAATAATAGTTAAGATTTCTTAAATTTTCTATTTACAATTTACTATTTACAATTAAATTTCTATGATTCGATTTGAAAAGTATGTGGAAAACAAACTTGGATTAAAATTAAAAATAAGTATTATGGAATGAAAAGCATATTAAGCCATATACATGTCTGGGTCAAAAAAAATTACGACTTTCAAAATGCAACTTACAACGTTTTAGTAATAAAATTTCTTGTTTAAGTTTGAACAAAATTTTTACATTAAATTATTTGCTCCAAAACAATTTACACGACACGTAAAGCAGGAATCAGGGAATACAGAGAGTTCTTTAAAGTAATTTTGTAAATACATATTCTTTAAGCATTTTGCTTCTTGTATACTGTCTGCTAAAACAATATAATATCAGACAACAACATTTTTAATGTCTTTAACCTTATTTACTAAAATATAAATACAAGTTATTAATTTCATTATGAGTAATAGTATCACACTCAAAAATTTAAATTAGTTATCGTACCGGAATTTTATCTTTCTCAATCATTTTAAATTAATAAAAAAAATTGTGACTTTTATATTATATTACATTCCTTTAACAATAGATACAGCTTATACACACGTATGTTATGCTCAGGTATAAAATTAAATTTTTGTGATATACATTAAAAATAATCTTCTTTTTATATAGCTATGAACATTAATATAAGTTTAAAAGTACCATAGTAATATTATATAAGGTATTCAAAAAAACTGTAACCAAAAATTACCAATAAAAGTTATTTTCTTTAAATGGAACTAACCATTCTAGGTTCTATTCAGATTTTAAATAACTTGTTGTTTAGTCTGTCAATTCCATTTTAGCTTACTGGTTGTCAGACAGTTTTTATTTTATATTTGATAATGTTATATATCAGGATATACTGATTTCATCTATGCACTGTTTAATACCCAAGCCGTTAATCCAGAATCAGTGTATTGTTGTTACTTTTAAAAACTCAACTTTGTGCAAGTGTATGTATTGTATTACAAATAAATTAATATCCTAAATATGGATAAAAAAATTCAAATATTGTGAAAGAGTAGAAAAGAAACCCTATTATTTATTGGTTCAAATATATATATATATATGAATGGCAATAAAATACTTTGAAAAGGAAAATATTAAGTTAAAAATATCTTTCAAAGCCTTTATAAAATGTTAGTTTTAGCTCGGAAAAATGGCATTCCGTCTAGACTAAAGCTGATAAAGTAGATGGGTTCATTTGTATTCACCGAAACAAGTGTTGCCAAAATCTCTTAATGTAGATTTTTCACTAAACTTTTATATATGCAAAGTAGTCTCAATATTAACTGAGCTTATACTTTGAAATATGAAGTAGACCTTTTTCATAAAAAATAATATATAAGAATCTTCCTTAAAATTTGTAATCCCCTTGAGGTTTAGAATTAAGCCTTTTATAACGAAGTGGCCACTTAGTCTCTTTTTTGTTTCACCAGATCCTTAAACGCTGCCATAAATAATTATTCACCTATATATTGCGTGAAAGAATTACTCGCGTACAATACAGTTTGAATTTTCCTAAAAAACATACAGAATGTCCAGACTTTGCCAATATTTTTATAATAATATCTATCCGATATTTGGCTGTAATTCGTGCATATTAAAAACTTGTATTTAAAATATTAAATTTAATACTATATAGATGTCATGTAATTAATTGAGCGTCAGTAATCGATGATCAAAAGGAAGCTATTAGTTTATCATTGTCCAATTACAACAGCACTTGAATACGCAATTAATTTGATGAGCCCTGTATTATATGAACGGTTGAATAGTTAGGAGATGGAAATTATGCTTTAACTGGTATAATTAACATTATATTAGGACAGTTCTTGTTGTAATTACATTTGCTTTACTGTTGCCAGAAATTCCTGAGCCATTATATATTGTCAATTTCAAAATCATCCAAATTATATTGACTAATTGGTTATAAAATGCCTTTCTCCTACCTAAAATAAATGCGATTGATTTACCTCAACGTTGTTTATAAAACTATAGCACGATAAAAGTCGTCGTGTGAGTCATGTCAGGAAATTTCCAATTCGATGATCAGTGAATCCCGTTGGAATGGAAATCGCCACTGTAGGTAGCAACGATAGGGTTACTCTTTAAGAATTCTCCTCCGAGTTATGAAGAAGAGTTAAGAATATTGAAAAGGTACATCGAATCTATGAAATACATAATTAATCGATTTCATAAAAAAGGTATGTATATGACAAAAAATGAAATAGATATAAGAACTTAAAATTTATTTTTAAATTGTTAAAAAGTACTGGGAAAGAACGAAGTATTTTTTTCATTTTCGAAACTACCAAATTATGAACAAATTATTACTAAAGTAATCGTTTAAATTTAACAAAATTGATATAAAATTATAAAGATTTGCAACTCTAAAACTGTTTGGGTCTACATTTTTTTTTTAATAAATACTGTAACACAATCGCTTACGGGCAGCGTCTACACTCCATTGCTTCTTGACATGCACCACTTGTTTTCCATACAAAAAACCGAGTTTAGATCTTTGATAATATATAATTTAATTATATATGCCGGAATCTAATTAAACAACGTTACGTAATTATAAACTAAGTTAATCATATCAATTTTAATAATAATCAGTCATTAAAAATAAGGAAATTGTACATACACAAAACATTTTTAATAAATGGTATCTATATATTTTCAATTTTAGTATATGTAATTATAAAATTACTATAAAGTAAAGCAATCTCATGCAATCAACTGGTCCTTCGCTAATTGTCTTTGTAATTGTACTTCGATCATTAACCACATTAAATCGGTAACTGGACGAAATTGGCAACCGATAGGTGATTGTATTGATGTCACTAAGTAGAACTAGCTAGCTTCGGTTAGTCACTTACTACATATAAAGTGTGGGAATAGATAAA